GCATCCTGCACGTGGTAGTTACCCATACAGCCATGCTGGACTTTGTGGAGCTCCTTAAATATAACCAGGTACCTTCAAATGAACGTCTGGTTTTCATATTTCAGTGGAGCCATTAAAAAGTCAGAATATATTTTTGCAACACTAATCCTTCAGCAACCTTTGGATCATCCCTACTGCTTGCTTCTAAATATGTAATTGACTTGCATTACATTATGTTTAGTCTGTCCATGTCCCTGCATTTCCATTCCAAAGGAATGAAAATTTGCGCCTACTGGATATTGAGCTAGTGCAGCTGAAAGGGCACACGCAGCTCCTTAGATGCCAAATTACATCTTAATTCAGGTTCACTTGACTCCTGTATTTTACAGCTATTTTTTGTCTGGATTGAAAGTAAGGCAGTCAAGGGTCTCTACGTAAAAAAAAAGCAACACTGCATGACATCAGCGTATTTGTGAGCAGTGATGCAATTTCTGTCTCAATTCCAGAATTCTGTAAAATATAGCGTAATTATACTTTATACAGGCAGGGCCAACTGAAATAGGAAAGAGAGCTTGCTTTGCCCCTAACTAAAGGGAAATGCCAGGCTAAAATTTGAAAGGATTAGTAACTGCCTTGCAACTAAAATAATGACAAGGTATTACATTTCCTTCTTTAGTTCTTAATTGTAACTATGGTCCCTTTGGGCTGGGTTGGATCCTGTGCAGCAGGGCTGACTGCACACCTCAGTTACAGGAGGTGATGGAGTATGTTCAGCTCCCTGATGTCCATCAGACCTTTCAGCTACTGGAAGAAGACAGGAGCACGATCCAAGTCAGTTGGATGAAAGCATGAACAGTAAGTTCAGCGAGAGAAGCTCTGCAGGGAACGGTGATATGTTTTCATTGGACCAACTGACAGAGTTGAAAAAAAGCAGACCAGCCTTTGCAAACACAAGCCCCCTTCACTAAGCCCAGCATCACTGGGCAAAGGAGAAGAACAGCAGCTCCCTTCTTTTAGGAAGGTTAACCATAGCTGTGGGACTTGTCTGGCAAAGGTTTTACGCTCTCTGAATCCAGCTATTGATTTTTTTGCATGGCATTTATATTTTAAGTTTTTATATTTTTAAAAACTGAACTAAATTTGTCAACTACTGCAACACTGCAAGAATCCATACAATTCAGCTCTTGAATTCTTTACAATACTTGCCTGGAGAGAAACCCACACCTCTCCCCACTTAGTACAGGTCTTTTTGGTAAGATGCCTGCATCTTAGAATAGTATTTCTCATTACCCAAGATTGTATCAGCTCCTGCTGATAAGTTTTTCACTTCATGTTCTTAACCTTCTGCAGCTGACATCCCAATCACCTTTGCAGCAACTGAGCTGTCAAATGGATGGCTGAAACTGATCAGAGGGCACCATCAGGAAGAAAGTGGATTTGTATGGAGCAGAAAGCTGGTGCTTTTGTGCATCAACATGATTAGAATAGCAGAGAAACAGAGCTGCATCTTTACAGTTAGTTAAATTCTTGTGCAAAACAAAGCATGTCTTTACTATATATGCACCCTGCCTTTCATTTACTCAACATTCTTTTTTGTTTTCTCATTTATCAGGGAAGTTGGGTTGTGAAAGGCCAACATAACATTTTAAGAGAAAAAACTCCGTAACACAAGCAAGACCCACAAGACGGCAGTCCAAACTCTGCTACTGTTAAAGTCCAGGGAAAACACCAACTCCAAAACTGGGAGCAAAAGAGTCAATCTAGGAGAAAAACCTTTTTATGAAAGGCCATTTGAGGAACACTAAGGCCTGCTCTCTGAATTCCATTCAACTGCCAGCCTCCTGTTTGTTGTTAAAAGCAAGAAGATAAAAAGCTCTCTTGCCTATCAGAAGGAGCATTCTTTTTCCTTTCCTAAGCATGTAGGTGACTTTCAGTCTAGAGGTTTCTAAATCGCTGCTAATACATTAACAGTATGCCAGTGTTTGGTAGCACAGTATTGCTCAAGAGCAAACAAACCCCTTCTTTGCAGCAAAACTGCATCAATATATACACGAGTTATGAAATCCATCATTACTTTTTGATAGATTTTGCAAAGGATGTGACAAATTAGACATGGGTTAGACACTAGCTGTGCTCCAAAATGTTACAAAACACTGCTGAAGTTCCTGTTACACAAGACATCGTAAAAATGATTTTTTTTCACCTCAATACTTCACCAGCATTGGCTACCACTCGCATTTTTTAAAAGGTTTAGCAAAAACAGTGGGTATCCCAAACAGGCTTTAATGCTGCTTTTAGCCCAGGGCCACAACTGGGTATTCATTTCACAAAATGAGCTGAATTGCAGCTCTGTCTTGAAGGTGTACTTCTGCAAGACAAACCTTTTCATACACGTAACAGCAGCAAACCACTCTCCTTCAGCCTCAAGCCTGAGAGAAGCTGCTCACCCAGAACAGGAAAAATTCTCTGGCACTGTGCCCCCAAAGCCTGCAAGAACTTAGCAGGTCCTACAAAACCAGATGCAGAATCTGCTGAGTTACCAAAGTTAATGGTAACACAGAGCTTTGAACAGAGTATCTCGTAAGTGAAGGCATACTTCCTATTCCTTTGGGAAAAGCGAGAAAACCTTGTGTGTGTTGTTCTAAATGGTTTCAGGGATAAGGCTAGCATAGATAACTTACCACCCGTCATTCATATTTTAATCAGAATCATCTGCTCTCATTTTTAAATGCCATGCTGGTATCTATGCCAGCTTTTCCACTGGAATGCCATCTATGGCAGCTTCTAAAGCAAAGCATGGTAATATAAGCAGCAAAGCACTCAATGGCGGAAAAAGACCAAGGTCCATCTTGTTACCACTGCTTAAGTCATATGTGGACTATGAAGTAAAATGAAAAGCAGAAAGTAAACACCAGGGTTTGGATAGCATGGCACAAATAGGGTGATGACTATATATTGTTAAAGCTGCCAAGTCTCCTGATTTCTCTTCCAGGAAAGCCAAAACTGAGTGAAGTACACATAATTAATTAGCAGTTAAACCTATTAAAATAATGTAGTAAAAACTAGAATGAGCAAGTTTATGACCAGGTGGGTTATCAGTAATTTTTTTTGAGACTCCGATTGTACCTCAGGATTTAAAAATTCCCTCATTAGTGCGTATGTTCAGCCCCAAAACATGCAAACTTGTTGAAATACTTATACAGACAGAAATCCAAGTAGCACCATTTTGTCTTATATACACACATAGACACCCGTCCCCAAGGCAAAGGCAATTCAAGCACAAGGTGAAAAATGACAAGAAAAACTGTTCTCCCCTGCAATAAGCACATATCAGTCAAGTGAGTGAAAACTTTATTCCCACCCAACACATGGTATCCAAAGAAACAACACATACAAAGATCTATTCATCCCACAATTACACATGCCTCCTGGATTTCATATTTGGAACCATATGACAAAGTTCAAGATACTTTATTTGTTAGATACAACAAGTAAATCTCAAAAGAGACTCCTTGAACGTATGAAAAAAAATCACGTCACTTGAGTGACCTCCACAACTTACACACTCCAGCAACAGACTGCATTTATAATGTATAATGACACTGATAACTTTCTCTTGCAGCTCTGCTCCCCTCTTTAAGGATTCTTTTATATTTTCAGAGACGATTGCTTTGTTCATTCTAACACTTTCTACACATTTACATCACTCTCATCCCAAGCACTGTTGTCACACAGGCTTCTAATTCAGTTGTTTGCTAACTGTAAGTCTTTGTGGTCTATCTACATTTTAGAAGAACTTGTGCACAGCACAAAATAATGCAAATGGCTTTCTCAGTGTATGTACTGAAGGATATGCATCCAGAAATTGGCTTTATGAACACATCTTCCAGTACTCCATTTAAACTAATGATACAGATTTATAAAAACATATACAAAATATTAACCTTGGACCAGTACAATGTCCAAGACACAGTTGGTAAATATGTAAAAGTATTCAGGTATTTCTAACTCTGAAATGACAAAGTATTACAGGATAAACTTAGGTTACACAGAGAAAGAACTTTTTCTTAAATCAATAACTCTGTAACAGAATAAATAATTTATAGTCTTGAGAAGACCTGCATTCTTTCCTACACAAAGACTTGTTACCTTTATTGTAAAAAGCTTAGAGGAACTTAGTATCATTTCTGTCAGTGGCTGAAAAACTTAAACACCTGCTTTTGTTCACAAAATTCCTCTCTTTAAATCTGCTAGAGGTAGATGAAGATAAAATGAACCTCAAAATGTTAAGATGCTGCAAATAAATTCTAACCCTGCAAATCTAGTGAACGTATGTTCTCACCAGATTTACTGAAAGCTGTTATTTTTTCTGTCTTTTTTTAAATAGAACAGCACTCAACTTCCTCCTTCCCCCTTGTCAAAATCAGTGCTTGATACTGTCACAAATTTCAAAGCATTCCTGAATTAGAGCAGGAGCAGGTCCCACATTACACTCTTCGCTTGCTCTGATACACTGCTGGTGCTCCTGGAACAAGGACAACAGGCCAAGCTGCAGAACTTGGACTTGCAGGCCCAAGTAACTCCTGGGGAAGGTGCAGCAGTGAGCTGGGGCTGAAGGAGGAGAGAGCACTGGCAGCCCTCACGTCCACTGCAGATGGCATGACCATTCTGAAGATTTCTCCAAGAATACATTTAGCATGGGTGTCTGCGAGCAAGAGCTGCAAAATGTTTGATTATTCCCACAAAATCAGGGAGTTCATTAAGCTCACAAGCATTTACAAGACCTCATGTAAAGCCCTGGGTTTGGCACAGAGAAAACCGAAAAGCAGTGACAGGATTATCTAGAACATGAATTACGTCATTAGTGTCCTGACAGACTAGAGGAAAAAAATCTAAGATGAACTGTTTAGATCCTACTGTTTAAATTCCTACTTTCCTGTAGGTTGACCTGTGGCTTTTCCAGTGTCTTTTCTGGTCTCTCTCCACCTGTAATTTTACCTAGTTTCCTCAGCGTGCCTCCAAGTCTCTTCACAACAGCAATACTGGCACGATCACAAAGACAGGATTCCTTTTTTTTCCTCCCTCTGTATTACAACTGTAGACGTCATGATCTCATTTGGTATGCAAAAAATATAATTAGCTCAGTACAATTTCCACAGCAATTTGAAGTGTGCCTTTTTCTCTTTTAGCATTTTAATTGAATGAAAATGACAGGATGGACCGAGGTGGCAAACCCCAGCATTTTACAGAATTCACTTTGGGTTTGTTACGGAACGATCCTGGTGGTTAAACTAAAACCACAGATGCACACAAACAAGGCATCTTTTCCACACTCTGGAATCAATGCATACTTAAATACGTGTCCTCCTTCACAACATTATTAAGCTCCAGAAGCCCTTGCTTTATGGACGCTGAGCCAATTTACTCTTACTGCTTTCCTGCTCGCTGAGCTTGAAGTGGGTGTAAGCTAAAATGCCCAACAACGTGCACAGAATCCCAAGGCCTTGATTAACAGACAGTGGATCCTTAAATAAGAGGCACCCTCCCAGGAGGGTGATGCAGAACTTGAAATGTCCAAACATGTTATACCTAGACATCTGTTAAGGATAACAGCAAATAGCAGTACTGTTTTTTACAAAAAGAAACGCTTGGGAATGTCATTAACTACATCCACAACAAGCAATGGCATGTCACCTTGACTTCAACTCATGCCACTTCACTGTGTCTCTGCAACTGAGAATTACCCTCCACCTGAGGCCTTCTGCCCACTGTACACGACAACTGACATGCCAACACTCCCTCAAGGGAGTCAAAGTGTGGGTGAATATTCTTTGTAGGCGTGAAGGTCACATCAGTAAGTTAACCACCCTTATCTATACAGAGAAATGAAATACACTGAAACGTGAACATGCTTCTCCAGCTTCACAGCAAGCAGGTGACCACTCGTCCCACAGTAAATCAGCCCAAATGAATGCTAACATAAGTCATCTGGAAACAGGAGAAAAAACTAAGGGCACAAAGGATACGTGACAGGTGACGTATTTCCAATGATCCAGTAAATAGACAAGTTTACCATAAAGGCTATTACTCCAGACAGCAGTACCATTATCTGTGGATTAACAGACATGGTCAGTAATCTGACATGCTTTTGGCCATTTGTAGATACATTCCAGGTTATTTATTTAGTTTCCTTTACTTTCAGATACAAAGTATCAGGCAAGAAAAACATATGGAGAACAAAAATAGGAACAACTTCAGATCAGTACAGACACTGGTGATATGTATAAGTAGCTCAGGGTATGATGTCCATAAATATATTCTTATAGAACCACAAGCCTTTTCTCCTTCACTCTCAGCAATTTAGAATCACTTGAAGAATGATCTGGAAAGTCTGGCTACTCATACACACAGAGGTCATAGACTTTGCCTTTCAGACAAGGTTTTACTGATGGTCACACTAAAAGCTATTATTAAAAACATCCAATTTTATCCCTGTGAATACTTGCTATCCCATTCATAAACTGCAGCTCTACAAGAAAGGACCCATCACTGAGCAGCACAATCAGCAGCGGTATGAATGTGCCATTGGCTCTTTTTTTCTGGACGGAAGGATAGAGAGAAATCATAGCTGCCCTGGTGAAAATAAACCAGCAATCCTAGAGAACAGCCAACCCTGGCATCTTTCCACACAAGAGGAGCTGAGAGTGTGAAAGTGAGTATGCTCATTTCTGAGTGGACAGTAAAAGCTGAAACTAGGGCACTTACATAGTTTTAATTTAGTACACTAAGGGAAGCTTCTGGATTTTATCAGATTTTCCTGTTGCTCAGATGCCCTCTAGACAGAAACAAGAATAAGGAGGTAAATCGATTGTCAGACAGACTCATCTGGGAGGAAGTGGGACAGACACAAAGATGTTTTTATTCTTTCACATGCCCCTCTCATCTCATCATAGTCAATGACTGCAGAAAAATCTGTTTCACAAAGAAACAGATCTGACTGCCAATTTAGCTACATCAGTGATGACTATTTATATTTAAATAAAGTCAATAAAAGCCTTACCACAGCAGAAAGCGTCCAGGGCCCAAATATTCCCCCTTCGCCAAAGACTGGCTCAAAGAAGGGTATGATGAACAACAACATAGCTGAGGACATTGGTGCCTGATAGTACAGCAACTGCATAGAGTTTACCTGCAACTCGTGCTGTTTAGCTCCTACCCACTGAAACCAAAAGAGAAAGCTGTTATGCACAAGGGAAAAAAACAGAACAAAACAAAATCATCAATTGTAAACTTGAGCAAAAGCAAACTGGCTGCTAACACAGAAAGGATCTCATGGGGGCAATACTACATGAACAGGTTATTGAGCATCTGCCTTTGACTACCTGGAGACCCATGTCTTTGTCTTTTGCAAGCACACAAGCCACGTGAGAAAGTGCTATTCTTAAGGAAGAACAAAAAAAGTAGCAGAGCTTGGAAAAAAAGACCAGCTCACGACAAATTCCAGATCCTGTCTATGATGGAGCAAAGCACCTTTGCCTAAGCAGAGATCTGCTTTTTGCCCCCTTCTTCTCCTTGCACAAGCTAACAAAACCAATAAATATTTTTCTTCTACCAGTGTGTTCTAAATTTACTGGATTTCATTGTAATATTGACTATAATTTGGACTTTCAATGTAGCATGCTTTAAGAGCTATTAGGTTATCTGTGAAGATGGATGGTACAGCCAAAAAGATGCATTTTTGTATTGCACTGAAGAATGTTTAATACTCCATAATTCACATTAATTGGTAACATGGAGTCCAGCGTATAAACTTGCTAAGTTAAAAAAAACCCAAAACCCAGGTACTCTTGTTCCTCCAGCACACACCCCATCACTTAAAGTTATTATGCATCATCTCTCTCCTCCTCCTGCCTCTAAACGGGACAAGAGACCATTATTAATCATCTTGCATGCTACAGGTCAAAGAGCATCACTGTTCTTGGAGCACAGTACACCTGTTATAAATAAATTAATGTTTAAATTCATGATGAGCATCACATCAACGTGACAGGAGACAAAGTCGTAACTTATAATGAGCTGGTCTTGAGCTTTAGGATGATGTTACAGTGGAAAGGGCTGAGAAAGTCCTTGGACATACCTATTTTACAGCCGTAACCAGCCAGAAAGGTTATACTGTGCATATATATATTAATTCACCCTCTACAAATCCACCTTAGACTGTGTATAGTCAAAACTGAGGAATGATGCTCACAAAACGCAAAGATTTGAGTGATAAACCACGGCATAAACAGGAGTGGTAAATGCCCTTTCTAGGGAAAGGCTCAGACACAAGGCACTGGCTTCAGCAAGGAGAAAATCTGTCCTCTCTAGAAAAACAAGAGTTTTACTGATAAAGCCATCTTCAGCCCTTGAAAATATACTCATGACCACACTGAAGATGACACCCCAGTTTTAGCAGTGAGGACTACCAATTCCTTGAAGAATTTACCTTAAAACAGTACAAATTATTTAACTTAAAAATAGTATATATACATATATATATGTATGTATATATAATGGAGTATGGGGGGGGTTCCCATATGGCAACCCACCGTTTAAACGCGACCTAACCCAGAGGGTCAGCACCTCGATGACCAGCCACCACAACGCTCCCACCTCTCCTTCCCGCCATTACCCACCACTTGGTAGAGGGAGGTCACCAGGACGCCCATGGTGGCGAACGCCATCCCGAGGACGTTGAACTTCACGTCGTAGTAGGAGTTGAGGAAGACGCCCAGCGTGATGGGGACCTGTGGAGACGGGGACAGGCGGGGTTAGAGCCATTGCCTCAGGCGTCGCCTCAGGGCGGGCGGGCGGCGGGAAAGGGGGGGCCCCTGGCCCCTTTCCCGCCGCCCGCCCGCCCTGAGGCGACGCGCGAGGGCAACCATTCCCCTCTCCCCTGCCGCTTCCTCACCAAGGTGAGCTTGATACGGAGAGGAAAGGTCTTGCCGTAAGCCAAGGTCTGTATGACCACGATGACCGGCGTGGTCATGGCCTTGGCCAGCTGGTAGGTACCGATAGTGTTGCTCTGCAGGGAGAGGTTGGTGAAGACGACGAAGCCGCAGAAGCTGAGGGCCAAAGGCAGCACCTGCGAGGGCTGCAGGCTCTTAGGGGAGAAGGCGCCGAGCGCTTGGCACAGGTAAAGGCCGAGCCAGGTGATAGCGAAGTGCACCAGGGTGAGGCTGAGGTTGGGAAAGCCCAGCCGCACGTACAGCCACTTGTTCAGGAACACGATGCAGATGGAGGCGGCCAGGTTCACCAGCAGACCCGCCGCCAGACGGCCCTGCGCCGGCAGCCAACCCATGGCGTCCCCGCTGGGCGCCGGGCAGCAGCGACTCAGGCAGCCCGCCGGCCGCCCGCGCTCCGCCCGGCACCGGGCGCCCGCCTCCGCCGGGACACGTGGGATCGCGCCTTCCGGTGGCGGCACGGCCCCGGGGGCGGAGCTGTGCATCCCAGCGGCTCCGCCCGATCGCGGGAGTGACCGGGCGGGGGGCGGCCCCCTGGCAGCAGCGGGAGGCACAGCGAGAACGTGAACCAGGCCGGAAGGGCACCGGCTTCCCCCCTCCGGTCCTGCTGCCCAGCAGCGGACAGAAAGGCACTCTCTCGCCAAGGGGCAAACATCGCTGAGCGACCGGAGTGGGAGTTTCTATAAACACGCGTAAAAATACAGGTACAGCACAAATCACGTTCTTCGGCAAGTGGCTGAAGGCACAGACTGGGTGCAGGAGCTGAAGCCCCTGCCTGACTGCGCTGCGGCGAAGTAGCTGAAGGTGTAAACGGGCAGGAGGAGGGTTTTAAGAAAATCACGGTATCTCAAACTTGGGAGTTTCAAGGTGCGATCACCTCTCCTGGTGAGGATTACAGCAACGTTTTGGCAACTACACAGGAGTAGATAAGAACAGTTCAAGCCCCAAACCAACCCTTCCCTCTTGCTAAGGGCTGGCAGCAGCCCTCTGCTTTGGCTCTTCCTTTCTTTCAGCCCCCTTTGCGTTCCACAGGTAACTTGTGGCAGTCTCACTTGCCTCTCCCCTGCACCCTTGCAGATTCTCCTGCAAAGTGGTGTTTCCAGTCCACAGGCAGCTCTTTGGTTATGGCAAAGAGGTTAAGGAGGTTCATACAATCACCAGGTTTATATAATGACATTTAAATTAGAGTGAACAAACATTTTCTGTTTGTGAAGCACTTTTATTAGAAAAAAAAACATTATGAAACAGGTTGTGTAATAAACATCATCTCTGAAGTTGATCAGAGTTTTTCAAGTTGAAATCAGGATGAATCCATTGCCTCCCCGCTCCCCCAATGATCAGACCAGTTTGTTGAGTCAGGGTTTTGTTCTTTGTTTTTTTTAATAACCAAAATGTTCATGTTCAGAAGTTTTTGCAAGTATCCCATGGTATCTTATGCCTGAATTTCATATCCCAGAGGATCAAGATCCTGGTCCAGAAGCATCAGAGAAGATTCCCTCAGCTTCAGTAGAAGTTTTCGGAGTTCATCTTTTGAAAATACCTAATAAAAAGAAACCATAAGGAAGTCATATTTATTCACAATGAAAAGCACCAATATCAAAGGAAATGATGGCTCATTAAGGTACCATTTTTTTTCTTTCTATTTAAGACAGTGTGAACATCAGACATTTCAGAACGGCATTTAGTAAAGGATTAGCAGCAGCACCCCAGACCTGAAGGTAATCTCAAGATAGCTCTGTCTCATAACTGCTACAGCAATTACTGGTAAACAGCCAAGTTTAATTTCCATGTTATTGCTGGCAGAGATTTTAAGCCCATCCAGGCAAATGCATCACAGTATTTTTCTTAGCTTTGATGTTTCTTCTCAGACTTCCAATCCTTGTTTTGTTCTGTAGGGGCGTGCTGTGGTTTAGTTTTATTCAGGGTTTGTTTTGGTTGGCTTTGGTTTTGGGCTGTTTTTGTGATAAGAGTTTTTTGGGGGCTGTTTCTCAAGGTTTTGGAAGGAAAGAAGGTTTGGGGTAAACCAAGTGCTCCAAAGCAAAACCTGTTTATACAATGTTCTGAGATGTAATGGGAATGAAAAAGAAAAGAAAAAAAAGTCAATCATAATTCTGCAGTTCAACTTAGAATCACAGAATCATTTAGGTTGGAAAAGACCTTTAAGATCACAAAAAGTCCAACTATTAAACTCATAAAAAATTAGTAACTCAGAATTGCTGCTTGTCAAAACACTGGTGGCACCTTCAGCGTTTCAAAGTTAACTCCTTAATTCCTTAAGTTAGGATACCAGAAAACCCTTTACTACTGCAGTGAATGGGAAAAGAAACTTCTGATGCTAAGGAACATATGGCATCTTCCTCTTCATATAGAAGCTTTTCCCACAGTCAACCCCCAGAGCCAAGCTGCCTGCAGCTCCTTAACTCACCGTGTAAAGCTTGTGTCGTTCAGAAGCGACCATGTCAGCCAGCCGCAGGCACTCCTGGTACTGCCCAGTACTGTGTAACACAGTGTGCAGCAAAAAGCACATCATAGGCAGGCACAGCTTTCTCAGCAAAATCATCTGGTGTATTCTTTCAGGGTCGTCCTCGGCATCCTTATCACAGCAAAATACTACATTAGTATTATGAACGTCACCTCTAAAAGGCAACTTGGCAAAACCACATGAGGAATAGCGTTACAGGCAAGAAAGTGGACTAACCAGCCTAGGCTGCACTGACAGATAGATTTATACAGTAACTGAAGGGGAAGCAATCCATAACGGGTCACAGGAAGGCCAGAGTGAGTTAAAGAGCCTCACACCAAGCTAAAGGTGACACAGGTACAGCTGGGTGCAACCTGTGCCGTGATACAAAAATTCATTTTACCTCTCTGACATCAACCATCCATCCTCCATCCACAAACAGCAGTACATTGTACATTTTCTCTTTCACATCAGCTGTAAGAGCATCCAAGAGGCCTTTCCAAATACCATAATCCATCTGGCAAAAAAACAAAAAATAAATGACTGCAGACCAGGATAATTTCCAAGGCTATTTTAACACAGACTCTTCACCCAGCATGCAACAGACAGCAGAACTCCAATTCAAATTGGCACCTTCAGCCAGTGGCTGGCACAGAAAAACAGAGTAAGTTATAATAGAGTTCTTAAGCAATCTGAATTAACAGTCTTCTACTCTGTTCTACTAAACTAAGACTGCTTCCTAAGCAAGAACATAAATGTTTATAGCAAACAACTTCAATTTTTACTTACCTCATACTTCTTTTCTTTATATTCATGGGCCACTTTTTCAGTGAAATTTGCTTGTGGTAACAAAGAAGGCTTCTGGGGAGCCGAGTTCATGTGTTTAAACCATTCGTTAAAGGTTTCGTGGGCTTCCTGGGTTGCATTGGAAACAGTGTTAGGACATTTCTGGCTCACAGAATTATAAAATGTTATTAAATACACAGGTATAGTGCATCCAGGAATCAGAAGTTAAATCAAATGGACAAACCTTGAAGTTTCACCACCAAGGCAAAGCCACCATTATCTCTATGTTATAACTTGGAATACAGCGTATCTGAAACTCACCAAATATGCCCGAATACATAAATGTTCCCGTATAGCATTGTCATCTTCTGCTGGAAGTGGAGTATCCATTCCCTGCTCTTCCCACTGGTTATATATTTCTGCTATAGAGTCTTGGGGAATCTTCACGAACACATCTTTTGCAGCTTCATGTTTCTTGGATGCTATGAGAATGGGAACCATGTATCAACAGCTTTGCAATTTCCATACTGGCAAACCCACGCTTTTTAATTACTAGATTGGATGTTACATCAAACAGAGTGCCAAGAGCCAATGAGCACAAAACCAACATTTAGAAAGTCTACAATATTTGTGAAGTTTAGTACCCAAGAACTTCCTCATGATTGCATTGCTTTGCTTAAGTGCTTCTGCCCTCTGTGCAGGATCGAATACGAGCCAGTCAATTACATCGATTTTCAGCCGATCCACCTATAAAAAAATCCAACATACAGATTCACTCACATTTCAAGCACACACCTGTTGTTAGACACATTAAATCTGGTCAGTGAAATACACAAGATTCTAGGCATGCATCTAGACATGCATCCAATGCATAGGATAGCATTACGACATACTAACAAGGATCGCTTTATTCACAGCTTTTGATTCTAAAGCTTAGAAAACAATCTCTGCAATCTGGAAGAATTCAAAAATCCATTTTTAAGCATTCCCAAGATATTCAGACCAATGGATGAGCATCAGCTCTCAAAAAATTTTATGAATTACCATGCATCTTCCTCAAATTTTAATATGAATGCACTGCACAAATACAGTTTATGGAGCCTTGCTAAAATATTCAGAGGTGCCATCAGCCTGCAACCACAGTTCTCCAATTCTCCTGTTAGATAAGCTGTCTGTTTGACTTAGAGAGTTTAAACATTGTACTGAATAGCAAAAAAACAACCACAAATCTGCAAACTATTAGCTGCTTTTTAAACAGTACTTTGAATGCAACGTATTAACAGTACCTCACTGCCACTGAAGTACTGAGTTGGATCCAACCAGCACAGCAGTGATGACAAGGAAACTCTCAATAAAGGCAGTCACAGAAGCACAGAATGGTTTGGTTTGGAAGGGACCTTAAAGATCATCCAGTTCCAACTCTTCAGCCATGGGCAGGGACACCTTTCACTAGACCAGGTCGCTCCAAGCCCCATCCAGCCTGGCCTTGAACACTGCCAGGGATGGGGCAGCCACAGGTTCTTTGGGCAACCTGTGCCAGCACCTCAGCATCCCCAGAGTAAAGAATTTCTTCCTAATGTCTAATGTAAATCTACCCTCTTTCAGTTTAAAGACATTCCTCCTCATCCCATCACTACTTGCTCTTATAATAAGTCATAGCTAGAATGTCACTTAAGCACGTAATAAGGTATATCAGAGATCCAAAGCATTAATCCTCATAATTCTCAGAAGCTACAATACTCTACTGTCAGCTACAACTTTGTTACAGTCATTTCAGGGGCTTTTAGCAGCATGTTGTTTGCACAGAGGCATGCTGCTGAGCAACACACACTACAGCCCAGAAGATCAAGGAGATGTAGAAACAGGAGTTACGGATTTGTGCAATTCAACTCCTCACTTGGTCACATGGAAAGTGCATTTCCCTCTCAGGCTTTTTCAAGGCAATTTTCACCAAAATAATAGATACAATCAAAAGACAGATACAGATCATATATAGTAAAAAAGACTCTGTGGTTGGTGGCAAACTGGAACATCTGCCCTATGAAGTACACTCACCTCTGTTGTGCCTGTATCTAACATATGGTCATGGTGACTGAATTCACCAGCATCCTTCTTGCGGATATTTTCAACAACCGTTTTTGTTATGGTTGCAACATCCAGACCTGGGTTAAGAGAGAAAACTATGTA